GGATGGGGAAGGGCGGGGGCGGAGGGAGGCGCGTGAGGGAAAGTGAACCTTAGAGTAAAGTGTCACTAAGAACACCCGCTCACCGGTCAGGCGGAGGAGGCTGGTAGTGGCTGCATTTCAAACTGCCCTCACCACCACACCACCCCACCACCTCCCTCATGGGCTCAGTGAATGATAGTGAACAATTTCTGTCTGTTTAGTGTATACTTTGCGGCCCCGACATACTTTGTGGCCCCGACATACAAAGTGCATACCATGTATATATAGTGCCATAGTGAAATATACATCTCAAAGTGCCAACTCCGATACTCAGTGCCATACACACCACAAAGTGTCAACCCCAGTTTATAGTGTCATACATATAACAAAGTGCCATCCCCATATTCTCAGTGTCATACATACCCTGGTGTACATATATATGAATGTATATTGTGTGGCATGTGTATAGCCCACTCGATACCACGCCTCCCCCCCACCTCACTACCTGAGCTGACCCTCGCCCCATCGGCCTCCACACCCAGCCGCGGCCTCCACACCCAGCCGCGGCCTCCACACCCAGCCGCGGCCTCCACACCCAGCCGCGGCCTCCACACCCAGCCGCGGCCTCCACACCCAGCCGCGGCCTCCACACCCAGCCGCGGCCTCCACACCCAGCCGCGGCCTCCACACCCAGCCGCGGCCTCCACACCCAGCCGCGGCCTCCACACCCAGCCGCGGCCTCCACACCCAGCCGCGGCCTCCACACCCAGCCGCGGCCTCCACACCCAGCCGCGGCCTCCACACCCAGCCGCGGCCTCCACACCCAGCCGCGGCCTCCACACCCAGCCGCGGCCTCCACACCCAGCCGCGGCCTCCACACCCAGCCGCGGCCTCCACACCCAGCCGCGGCCTCCACACCCAGCCGCGGCCTCCACACCCAGCCGCGGCCTCCACACCCAGCCGCGGCCTCCACACCCAGCCGCGGCCTCCACACCCAGCCGCGGCCTCCACACCCAGCCGCGGCCTCCACACCCAGCCGCGGCCTCCACACCCAGCCGCGGCCTCCACACCCAGCCGCGGCCTCCACACCCAGCCGCGGCCTCCACACCCAGCCGCGGCCTCCACACCCAGCCGCGGCCTCCACACCCAGCCGCGGCCTCCACACCCAGCCGCGGCCTCCACACCCAGCCGCGGCCTCCACACCCAGCCGCGGCCTCCACACCCAGCCGCGGCCTCCACACCCAGCCGCGGCCTCCACACCCAGCCGCGGCCTCCACACCCAGCCGCGGCCTCCACACCCAGCCGCGGCCTCCACACCCAGCCGCGGCCTCCACACCCAGCCGCGGCCTCCACACCCAGCCGCGGCCTCCACACCCAGTTGATGCCTCCACACCCAGTTGATGCCTCCACACCCAGTTGATGCCTCCACACCCAGCCGTGGCCCCCACACCCAGTTGATGCCTCCACACCCAGCCGCGGCCTCCACACCCAGTTGCTGGCTCCACACCCAGTTGCTGGCTGCACACCCAGTTGCTGGCTGCACACCCAGTTGCTGGCTGCACACCCAGTTGCTGGCTGCACACCCAGTTGCTGGCTCCATACCCAGTTGCTGGCAGTTGCTTGGCCATGACCCAGCGTGTTTGCCCCCCTCTATAGAACAATGCACAGTTTAACTCCCCCAACCGAGTTGAAATGGAAGGGGTCCCAGCGGTCGGGCAGGACTCCACAAGCCTTGAGGTGCCAACAACTGCTCCTAAAAGAGGTTTTTGCCGAGTATGCAACAAAAACACCGCCATAAACTCCAACAGTGGTGTCATCCGCTTTCATACCGTCAACGAGGTAAGATGCAGTGGTTCCCACCAGCTTCCAAAGGGAAGCAATGGCCAGCTGCCATTGACAGTTAGAGAAGAGACTCCCATTAACCTAATCTCATCTGAAAATCTCACCCAAGCGATCATAGCGACGTCTGCTAGAACATTACCACACATCCCAAAAGCAGCCCGCCCAAATGCAGCAGCCAAACTCTGTAATCTTCTGAAAAGGGTCAATGATGCCCTGGAAAACATTCAAGCGTGGCATAATGTCCTTCTGTTTGGCAATGTATGCCTCACCGTCCCTCCAAGGAGGGACAAATCACTTGCTTCCTCGGTCCTGAGGGCAATAAATGAATACCCAAGGGGGGACAACCTAGTTCGTCTGCCTCTCCGAGCAAAACACATCCACCGCAGAAATGGTAACATCATCATACCGGAAACGTACAAAATTGGAGCACAAATCACCAAGAAAATTGAAGAGGGAAATACCGCAAGTGCTATTAGAGTCCTCACCAGTCACGAGAAAATTGCTCCTCGAAACTCGGCCACAGCACGGGCCCTGCAGAGCAAGCACCCACCCAGAGCCCCTCAAGGCGACAACATCGTTCCGCCATCAGCCGACACCATCTCAGACCCATTAATCGTTGGTGAATCTGAGGTCTACAAAGCAGCCCTTTCTTTTCCACCTGGGTCAGCAGGCGGCTTTACAGGGTTAAAACCTCAACACATCAAGCAAATGTTAAATCCTGCGGTTGGTGATGCTGCACAAGATCTTCTTATGGAACTTACAAGGTTTGTCAACATTTGCCTGGCTGGTGATATACCTGAGGTCATCAGGCCTCTCTTTTTTGGTGCCTCCCTCTGTGCTCTCAAAAAGAAGGACGAAGGAATCAGGCCAATCGCTGTTGGCAACACTCTCAGACGCCTGATTGCCAAGGCTGCTACGAGGGTTGTCAGCCAACAAGCGGCTGAATTGCTGAAACCAATCCAGCTAGGATTTGGAAACCCCCAAGGCTGTGAAGCGGCTGCCCATGCAGCACCAGCATACATCACCAACATTTCTGATGAAAAGGCCCTGCTCAAACTGGACTTTAAGAATGCCTTCAACATGGTCAGAAGAGATGCAGTACTTTGTGCCGTACATCGCCATTTCCGGCCCCTCTACCCGTTCATACTATCGTGCTACAGTGGTGAGTCAACACTGCTCTTTGGTGAACATGAAATCAGATCATGTGAAGGTGTTCAGCAAGGTGATCCTCTTGCTCCCCTTCTTTTCTGCTTAGTCTTAAAAGAAATCACCGAAAGCTTGTCCAGTGAGTTCAACATCTGGTTTTTGGATGATGGCACTATAGCTGGCACCGTAGACCATCTCTTGGCAGATATCAGGAAAATAAGGGAGCAAGAAGTAAGCCTGGGTCTCGTCCTGAACCCTTCCAAGTGTGAAGTAGTCTCTTCCAACCCAGACATCGTAGCTAGAATAAGGTCTGCCTTGCCTGGAGCCCCTGTCATTAGGGCCGAGAACAGCACCCTCCTTGGAGCCCCCCTCGGGTCTAATGCCATTGAGGAGATCCTTGACAAGAAAATCACAGATCTTAAGAGGATGGAAGACAGACTAGGTGACATCGACGCCCACGATGCTTTTTATCTCGTCAAATGCCTATCCCTTCCGAGGCTAACCTACTTTCTGAGGTGCGCCCCGTCTTACGACAGCCGAAAGCTTGAAGAGTATGACCTCTTACTGAAGACCATGCTGGAAAAAGTTGTTAACCTCTCCCTCAACGAATGCCAGTGGAAACAAGCCACTCTTCCTGTTAGGCTCGGTGGCTTGGGTGTCCGCACTGCTACCTAAATTGCTGTCCCAGCCTTCCTGTCTTCCTCCTCAGCATCAGATGACCTGGTTAAGGAAATTCTACCTGACACCCTGAGTGATGTAGCGGGGATACAGGACCCCCACTACACGGAAGGCGACACGAAATGGGGTGCCATGGCAGACCCAGCACTCAGATCAGCCATGCCGAAAGCCAAAAAACAATCCAGTTGGGACAGCCCCATTGTAGACAAAGAGCCACATTGCAGACATTGTGGCTCTGCAGGCGTGCACGATCACTGGGGGTTGTTGCTGCCTCCAGCAAAGCTGTGGCTGGAGGCAGCAACAACCCCCAGTGATCGTGCACGCCTCACAGCTGTGCAGGCTCCCCATGCAGGGGACTTCCTTTTTGGCAGTACCTATGTCTGCGACAGGCACACGTCTTGATCCGCAGGAGCTCCGTATTGCAGTCGCTCTCCGTCTTGCTGCCCCTATCCACACTGTTCATAGGTGTATTTGTGGCAAGGCAGATGCTGACGAATATGGATTGCATGGCCTGCACTGTGGAAAATCTGGTGGTTGGCACACTAGACACGACGAAGTCAATGACATCATTAAAAGAAGCCTTGCTTCTGCTCAGTGTCCAGTAGAGAGAGAGCCCCGCAACCTACTGAACCGTGACTCTGTTAGCTTTGCCGACCGACCAGACGGAATCACACTGCGACCCTGGAAGGGTGGCAGACAGTTGGCATGGGACTATGCTTGTGTATCCACCCTGGCAACCACATACATCAACCTCTCTGCCGGCACAGCAGGAGCCGCGGCAACACGCAGAGAAAGAGACAAGTCAGCCAAGTACAGGCAATTAGATCATCGGTATAACTTCGTTCCAATAGGGTCTGAGACCCTAGGCCCATGGGGAGAGTGCAAGAAGGTTTCTCAAGGATCTTGGTTCCAAGCTCATTGACACCACAAGAGACCCTAGAGCAGCAAATTTTCTCTTTCAGCGCCTCAGTGTCGTGATCCAGAGGGGAAATGCTCGCTGCATCCTCGGTTCCTGCCCGGCGTCGGAGGAGTTCGAGGAAATCTACAGCCTCTAGGAAGCGAACTTTTTTTGTGTCCTCTTAATGTTAATTTTTTGTATAAAATCAGATATGTAACTGTATAACCTTGCATAATAAAGTGTACACCATAAAAAAAAGGGGGGTGGTAGGAGAAGCGAACACTCTTACGTATTCAGAGTTAAATGGCAAGTTTTTTCCCTGAATGCTCTGTGTTCCCTTCTCTGAGGCTGTGGGTTCCTATAATTGCACCAGAGGTGGTACCCCCCTATATATATATGTAATATAATATAAATATTTAGAATGAATGAATGAGAGAGATTCCCAAATACCCTCCAGGTACGTGAAAAGACCCAATTCATTTACGGAGGGCTCCTGCTTCTGTGGTCTGATGCCGGACGAGCACCTTCCCCTGGCCAGTCTTGTCCCTGTGCCCCCACCACGACCACAGGGAGAGGTAAGGGATCTTATTGGTCAGTGTGTCATCATGGGTGAGTAACCTTATTGATCGGTGTGTCATCATGGGTGAGTGACCTTATTGGTCAGTGTGTAATCATAGGTGAGTGACCTTACTGATCAGTGTCATCTTGGGTGAGTGACCTTATTGGTCAGTCTGTCATCATGGATGAGGGATCGTATTGGTCAGTGTGTCATCATGGGTGAGTAATCTTGATGGTTTATGTAAATTGTATCTGTTGGTAGTGTTGGATCTTTCATATGATTGTTGTATATTGCATGTGTATTAGGTACTTGCTATATATATTACATGTGGTGTATTTATTGGAGTGATTGCTGTATCATGCATATGTTTGGTGCACATTCCCTTCTGCAACACAGCAGGCACAGGGACCCCAGCATCTTCCCTGAAGACCCAACTTTTACAACATCCACCAGAGTGGCGAGGTAAAGTATGAAACGAACCTCTGTGGACCAGTTAATTCATTCACAGCCTTCCTTGCATGCATCCACACAGGGCGCCTTCTCTGTAGCAGTTTGGCAGTGTAATGACTGGGTTCTCATGCAGACCCAATCATTTGTTGTAATTGCACCTTGCACTTGAAATAGCCAACAAGACATAGATATGCCAGTAGCCGAGATAAGGACATCAAATAATGATCCTGGACCGAGTGCTCCATTCAGTCCAGGGACATAAACATAAAGTGCTTGGCTTGCGGTCCAGAGACATAAACGACAGGAAAAAGTCTTCCACCACCGCAAGCAGTGTATTAGTTTGGTATTTGGAAGAATCACCCAAGGAAGACAGGGAATTTATTGGTTTTGGATAGGAAGACTCATTGAAATTCACTACATGGGCAACAGCGCTGGATGGTGCAGAAATATAATGATTTAGAGTCAATGTTGTTGCCTTATAAAAGACTGACTGGTGATGGCAGTAGATTGACCTGTGCATACATTGTACATACAGTACAACTGTAAAAATATATTGTACTGTATATGTAATTTTAAAGAATACAGGCAAGGTATTTTTCTTAGTACACTATTACTTAAATTTCCCTGAAGATTTGAGTCATGTCAAGAATCAGGGCCCAGCCTGAATAATGTGTGTCACACACTGCAGGAACGGTGATGGAGAAGATCGTGAAAAAAAAACCTAGTAACACATTTGGAGAGAAGGGACTTCGTGACAACCAATCAACATGGGATCAGGGAGGGTAAATCTTGCCTTACTGGCCTAATAGAATTCTACGATCAGGTGACAAAGATTAAGCAAGAAAGAGAAGGATGGGCAGACCGCATTTTCTTGGACTGTCGAAAAGTCTTTGACACAGTACCCCATAAGAGGATGATGAATAAGCTGGAGAAACAGACAGGAGTAACTGGTAGGGTGCTCCAGTGGGTAAGGGAGTACCTAAGCAATAGGAAGCAGAGTTTTGCAATGAGAGGTGAGACCTCAGATTGGCGTGAAGTCACCAGTGGGGTCCCACAGGGCTCTGTACTCGGACCTATCCTGTTTCTGATATACGTAAATGATCTCCCAGAGGGTATAGACTCATTTTTCTCAATGTTTGCTCACGACGCCAAAATTATGAGAAGGATTAAGACAGTGGAGGACAGCTTGAGGCTTCAAGAAGACCTGGACAAGCTGCAGGAATGGTTGAACAAGTAGTTGTTAGAGTTTAACCTGAGTAAATGTAATGTAATGAAGATAAGTGTAGGGAGCAGGAGACCAGATACAAGGTATCATTTGGGAGATGAAATACTTCAATAGTCAGAGAGAGAGAGAGAGAGAGAAACCTGGGGGTTGATATCACGCCAAACCTCTTCCCTGAAGCCTATCTCGAGAGGATAACATCAGGCGGCATATGCCCGGTTGGCCAACATAAGAACGGCCTTTAGAAACTTGTGTAAAGAATCATTCAGAACTTTGTATACTACATATGTCAGACCAATCCTGGAGTATGCGGCTCCAGCATGGAGTCCATATCTAGTCAAGCATAAGACTAAGCTGGATAAGGTTCAAAGGTTTGCCACCAGACTAGTACCCGAATTGAGGGGCATGAGCTATGAGGAGAAATTATGAGAATTAAAACTCACATCACTGGGAGACAGAAGAGTTAAGGGGGACATAATCACCACATACAAGATTCTCAGAGGAATTGATAGGGTAGATAAAGACAGACTATTTAACACCAAGAGCACACATATTTGGGGGTAACACAGGTGGAAATTGAGTGCCATAATGAGCCATAGAGACATTAGAAAGAAATTTTTCAGTGTCAGAGTGGTTGACAAATGGAATGCATTAGGAAGTGATGTGGTGGAGGCTGACTCCATACAAAGCTTCAAGTGTAGATATGATAGAGCCCAGTAGGCTCAGGAACCTGTACACCAGTTGAGTGACAGTTGAGAGGCAGCACCAAAGAGCCAGAGGTCAACCCCCACAAGCACAACTAGGTAAGTACACCTGGCGACAGTCTTGGCTGGGGAGAACTGTTCCTGACAAGTACATTTGAGACCTCGTAGGTTTTAAATGGTATCATGACATGACACTCATGTTGAGGTTTTCAACAGCAGGAGAATAGATCCCAACATGATACTGATATCTTGTGTTACTGGTCGTCGGTCTTGTCTAAACAACTATCGCTAAAGGTTGTAGAATGTTATGGGGTCATACACAACATTTATAAATGGTGCAGAGCTGTGAAGCAGTATTACCTTTAGATGCTGCCAAGAATTAAGATAGCAAATACCAGATTTACCTGAGGGGTACTAACCCTAGTGGCCTTAAGGGGGCGTCTGGTTGGCATCTGGGTCCAAAAATGCAAAAATGAAAACTCGTTCGATTTCAATCAAACTTTTTTGACAAGTTCTATATGAAAAGTGTTTCATCTGGTCCAAGTTTCAGCATCGTAGCATAAATAGGAAGGGAGAAAAAAAATATTGAAGTAGTTGTGAAAATTATGCAAAAATGGTCAAAATCGATTATCAATCAAAAGTGTCAACTGAAATCATAACTATGACTCTTTGCTATCACAATAGCATATATTAAACAAATATTATAATTACAGTAGTTTAATTGGAAAATAATTTTAAGAAGAAAAAAAAAGATTTTTCTTTTTTTTTTAAATTTTTTTTTTCATTTTTTTTTTTGGCGATTTGCATCAAACTTACACACCTGACTGTACGTAAGCCTATCTGTAAGGATGCCAATTTTGGAGAAAATTGGTTGATGTCAACCTCAGCCACAGATTTTAGAACCTTAGACTTTATTCATTTGTTTTTTTTTCAATTGACACAAACGTTTACAAAACTGATTCCCTTTTTATTCAATTTACATGAAACTTACACTGTATATGTGGAGGGCATGTCATTGGGGGGCTTTCATTTTTCTCTAAGTTCATTTATTGATTTTATAATAGCAATAAACATGCCATATTTGCAAAAAAAATTTGGGGAACTTTGAACATTTGTATTAGGAAAACTAAAGATGTTTTGGAAATTCTAAATCCCCAAATCCTTTATTATATGCTAATGTGTCAGAAAAGTGTCACAGAATAATTATATCTGAAACGTGTGTTCTGAAGTGTGGACTTGAAAATACGTAAAAAACGTTGAAGAAGAAAAAAAAAAAAAAACTCCCTTTCTATTTACGCTGCAGTACTGAAACTTGGGACAATTTCAGCACTTTTCATATACAACTAGAAAATTAATATTGGTTGACATTGAACAACTTTCACTATAATAACCAGCCGCCCCCTTAACAAGAACAGGAAGCCGGCAGCTTGTCGGAGGTGCCCCCATTTGCCCTGATGATCTTTTCCAGGTAGATTTTAAAAATTAACACAGTTTTGGCGGGTAGGTGGTTCCATGGGTTTATAACCCTGTGGGTGAAAAAGCATCCCCTGTTCTCATTCCTACATTGTGGCTTGTTGAGCTTGAAACTGTGCTCCTTGTTTGTGTTACATCTGACCTTTTGAAGAAATTGTCTGGATTAACATCCTCTAACTTGTTCAGTATTTTAAGTTTCAATGAGATGAGCCCAATCATGCCTGGTTTGCAGTGTTGTTAGCCCTGAGGCCTGGTACTAGAGATGACTTAGCTCTTCAATGACTTTTGTTGCCCAGTGTTGTAATTTCTCCAGAACAGCTGTGTCCTTTTGAAAATGAGGTAATCCATTCTATGTAAACTACCTTACCTCCTAATTATCATCCTATGTTCTGCTATTATTGAACATTAATTACTGTACCTGTAAAAGGTACGTGTAAAAAAAAAAATTGAATACTTTTTGTTTATTTAGTGAAAAATACTACACTGTTGCATTTTCCACTATACATGTCGTCACCATGTAATTACTGTATTGTAATTTCGTTTATTTCTCTATAGTTCATTTTTGGATTTTGATCTCTATTAGTTTTAAATTTTTAGTTTTTAATTTGTTTCCATATCATATCTGAAACAGTGTACGTTTAAGTGGCTTTAGGCGCTGTACTCGCCTTACCTCGAAATCCAACATTCTTCCTGTACCCTATTTTGCATGTACGGTATGTACTTTGGCTTAAATTAAAATTATTAGTAGTATGATTTTCACTTCCTACTTTACTGTAAATCTTAGTGCTAGCTGCAAATTTGATGTGGCTTGTAATATTCTCATTTATGAAATTGATGTATATGAGAAAAATGACGGAGCTCAAAATCTATTGGTGTACTGGCTGTACTTTGCATGTGTTGTACCTACTGGGGTATTTGTTATATCTTGCATGTGTTGTCTGTTCAGGTATTTATTTATGCATCTCATGTATAATTTATATCTGGTAGGGTACATACAGATCCTGATCTACATGTTAATTAGGGTGTGCTCATTATAGGGCTTTATGGCGATGAAGAGCTTGCTGGAGAAAGAAGAGGATGCAAAAAGGTATAAGCCCAATAACCTCGTCTCCAGTATCTTGAGCTCCCTCGGACTGAAGTCCCCCAAGATGCCCTCCCTCAGCCTCTCTGCCAGGCTTCCTGCCTTCACCCATACGTCAATCAACCCTCACACCATCATCTCGCAACCTTCCTGCCAGGTAGGCACTTGTCCTTATACTCTGGTTAAAATATTTGAAAATTTCCCCTCTTGAACTGACAATGCAGCAACACATCTATATCAGGCTCACTTGATACACATGCAAAGGTAGGAAATTAATTAATGTTAGAATTGACACTGGAATAATTGTGTTCATGTTATCAGTTACAGAGGTAGATTTGTAGGAATGAGCAATATTCTATTCTATTTCTAAGTGAGCTCTCCCCGGTAACTTCTTGACTTAAGCATTGGTTAAGCCTTCTTGGGTTGTATAAGTGATTATTTGAGTCAAGGGTTAGTTTTTCAGCAGAGACGCTCTCCTCGCCCTTATAGGAATTTTGGTGGAATTCAGTTCTTGTAAGGATTTTTATGGCTTCTCTGTCTGATTCCGGGCCTGATACTGCTGGCTGTAGTTTTTCTGGATGCCATTTGTGAGTTTTGATCTCTGGTGGTTATTCTTTTGGATCAGGTACTTTATTTATTGGTAATCATTCCTGCTGGTGTTGTTCTATTTCCTCACTTCTGTCGGTTCAGACCAACTTTACAAATATATACTGTACTAGTATATATACTGTCTATATTTCATTTACCTGGGCACTAGGAGGCTCAAACCGCTGACCCCACGTGCGTGAGACAGACCCACTATCAACCTTGCTATAAGGAGTTTTAATAAGGAAAGATTCTAGAAGCAACTAACTGCTGCTCAGTTGGAATTTTCTGTGGGGAGCCCCTACGGCTCCCTGGAGCTTATCGGGCTAATGTATGTTATATTAGACAGAGACATTAGCTAAGGAGTTCAGACCTACCAGGGACTAGCGCCAGAACCTGGCCCATTCAGAGAGGTTTCAGGGAGCAATGGCCCTGGAAAACCCCTTGTGGTTGGGGTTTTCCTTATCTGCCATCGACCAGGGTTAGGCACCCAGAAAGGTAGGCATAACAAAACAAACCCCACATGGTAAAAACTAAAACAAAAACCGAACATAGAGGTAGAAACTCCCTACAATCACAAGGAAACAAGCAAACAAGCAAACATCACACTTTACTGCCGCGCCGATCGTCCGCGCAGCCCTCCCCGCCCCGGGAGGGGGAGGGGGGAGCCCCGGACCTACCGCGTCGGCTGCCAAGCTCCAGTTCTTTCGCTAATGTCAACCGGGATTGACGCTTCTCTGGCCCCAGTTTCCTAGGCTGTGTTTGCCTTGTGTGGCGTTCACTGCCGTGTGTTGTGTGGTGCGGTAGCCAGGAGTACTTCATCAGTGCCGGGGCTGCATGTGCTTAGTGGCTGACTTCCCTAAGCGCCCTGTGAGTACTGCCCTTGCTTAATAGGGTTATCTTCCCTGGGGCGTTCGGGAACCATTCCCGTAGAGGTTCTTGCTGCTCAGCATTTGCCTCGCCCTTGGGGCCAGCTGGGGCTTGGGGTCCTTGTTTGGCCCTGGGGTAGGGATTGGTATTGTGCTGGTTAGGACGTCAAGGTGTTGCACAGCCTGCCACCTAAGCAGTGGCCGGTTTCTGTTGCTTCTGGAGACGGTGTACTTTTGCGGGGTTTTTCTTTGGTTTTTAATTTTTCATGCCTGGTGGGGGTCTGCCTAAGGTGGTTTTAGTTCCACTGGTAGTGTTTGGCGGCCCTCTGCTAGGCCCCCGTGATTGTACATGTCTCAGGGGTTTTCAGTGCTATAATCTACCCTCTTGTTATGTTTGGGTTTCTTAACCAGTTAGCAACACCTTGCCCGGGCTTCCCGTAGTTGTTACCCTACAGGCCCTGGAAACCCCTGTCTGGGCTCGGGGGACCATTGAATGTGTCTTCCGGGTTCCAACCCGTCTTGTCCGGGATCGTTGGTTGCTGTTCCCTTGTCTCCGGGTGATAGTCGCCATTTTTACCTCCGTCTTACTGCCTGTTGGGTCACTGACACCTTGACCCGGAGTCTTGCGAGTGATTCTCTGCTTGTTCTCCAGTACTCTCCTGATGTTATTACTGTTCAGAGTACAGGCGGCATCCGTGTTGCAAGCTTGGTTAGGTTGCTGCAACATGCTAGGTTGGTTTCCCACTCGAATGCCCTGTGGCCGCCCCGTTTGGTTAGGTGCTGTTCGCCTCTTTCCCTCCATGTTCCCGGCTCCGGACCGTCTGCGGGTTTCGGGGTCGGGGCGGGGTTTAGTTGCGGCAGAGACTAGGGCGGTTTTCGGGGGCTGCCCCGTTCGGGTTCGGGACGGAGGTTTGAGCCTGTGCCTCCTGCCAAGGCTTCTGGGTCTTACCAGCGGCCCTTTCTTGTTGCCTTTCCCATGGACTCTTGCTTTTCTTTAAGGGCGGAGAGCTTGGAGGACGGCTCTGCCCCGGGGCCTCTGTTGTTGGTTCCCGGGGCTGTGGGGGATGCCTGCTAGCAGTTCTGGGGCGGTTTTGCCCCTGCCGGGGTTTTTCTGCTGTTGGGCGGCGTTTTTTCGCCCATCCAGTCTGCTAGCTTCCCACATTTGCTGGCATGTTTTTTTTGTGTATTCGGTGTCAGTCACAGCCCCTCCTGGCGGCCATTTTCGTCTGCCGGTTTCACGGCGTGGCCACCAGGGCGGCGTTGCGGTTTGTTTACATGCGTCTGGGTGTGCGAGTGAGCGTCTCGGGTGAGTTTTCAATTTTTTTTTCAGGATTTTTGTTCTCCTGTTGTCATTTCTTTGTTTCCTGGTGTTTTCTTGCCATTGCCTGTTCCTCTGGGAACGTTTGTGTGTTGATTTTGGGTCTGAGCCTATGGGTTTATGCTCAGTGCCCCTGGCTGGTATGCTTGCTCCCACACCTTGTCCCTCGGTTTTCGGTCTGTTGGGACCGTTTTCCCAGGGGGTTCTGCTGGGGGCTGTGCTTTGCCTTTCAGTGGTGTTCTCCGCCGGCAAATGTGGTGCTTTTGGCTCCCCTTGGTTTGATTCTGGGTTCCTTTGGGTTCCTTGGTTTCGTTCTGGAGGTTTCTTCCTCTTGGGCCCCCTTTTGTGGGTTCTGGGGACTTTGTTTCCTCGTGTGACCCGGTTCTGCCTTTTGGGGTTCCGGGGTCTTCCTGGCTTGATCTTTTTGGGTCTTGACACATGTTGTAGTTGTGCTTGGACTTTGCGGTTTTGCTGTCGAGGTGGGCCTTTTGATGCAGTTTTGTGCCTTATTTGCCTGGCCGGCGTAGTGCTCTCTGCCCACTAGTCGGCGACTTGTACTTTTACAATATATGTCCTCACCTAGTTGTGCTTGCGGGGGTTGAGCTCTGGCTCTTTGGTCCCGCCTCTCAACCGTCTATCAACAGGTGTATAGGTTCCTGTGCCTCTTGGGCTCTATCATGTCTACATGTGACATTGTATGGGGTCAGCCTCGTTACTTGTGTGTGGAGTCACCACATTACTTCCTAGTGCTTTCCCGTTACCATTCTGACACTAAAAAAAAAAAAAAAAAAAAAAAAAAATAATTCTATCTGTGGCTCTTTTGGGTACTCAGTTTCCACCTGTGTCCCCTGGTGCGTGTGCCCCTTGTGTTACATAGCCTGTCCTTATCACCCCTGTCGATTCCCTTGGGTATCTTGAATGTGGTGATCAGGTCTCCCCTCACTTCATCTTCCAGCGAAGTGTGGTTTAATTCCCGTAGTCTCTCCTCATGACTTAGGTAGTGTACTTTTTCTTTCGGAAGGGGTTCTGTTCCCTTCTCTGTTGACTGGGCGCTGGGGGAGCAGCTTGCTCTGTTGCCTCTCGCTTGGTCCCGCTGTTGGTGGGCGCTTTGGGTTGTCTTCCGGCCTCTGCTGGCGTCGGAGGACAGCTTCTCCCCCTTGGGGGGGGTTCAGAGCTGGCGGGGTGGGCTTCTTCCCCTGCGCTTCGTCATTTCCTCTTCGTGGGTGCGTGGGGCGTGGTCGTTCCACCCCATCCTTCTGGGCTTCCCGTCTGCTCTTTGCAGTCATGAGCTTTTCTCGTCTGCAGTTCTTCTGGACTTCTTCAGTCTGCGCCCTAGATCCTCTGCCCCTCCTCGGAGGACTGTTGTCTCCTGTTCGGATTCTGTTGGGGCCGGGTGCATGGATGGTGGCCCTGGACCTCCAGGTCACTTCTTGGCACGTTCCTCTCCAGTTTTTCTGGGGCTAGCACGGTTGGTGGTGGGGCTTCAGGTTTGCTGTTTTTATTGCCTTCCCTATTTTGTAATGGGTACTTCGTATACTCTTTGCATCTTTACCGGATCTTAGTGCCCTGTCTGAGTCTGAGATTTGGTGTCTGGCCTATCTCGACGACTGGCTGGTGTGGGATCCCAGTCAGTCCGCTTGTCTGCTTGCCAGGGGATGGTTCTTTCCAGATCGCCGGGTTTGGTTTCCTGGTGATCTGGAGGTTTTTCCATCTGTTTCCGTCCCGGGTTCGGACCTGGGCCTTGTTTAAGGCTCTTGGGGCCCCTCATTGTCTTCCCTCCAGAAGTGTTATTGCGGCTGTGGTCCCGCCTTTGGCTGTTCAGGAGGGGGTCCCGGGTTGCTCAGCGGTTGCTTGGGCGGTTGTGCGGGAGTCTGCACTTCGGCGTGCTTGTCTGCCCGCGGAGTCGGGTTTGGCTACGGCATCTGTTGGTTCCTGCGGAGACTCCCCTTCCGCCTCTTGCATTCATTGGGTTCCTCCGGGGATCTCGTGTTGGTGCTGCGTCACCAGCTTCCTCTTTGGGGTTTTCGGGGTTCCGTGCCTTGGCACCTCCCCGAGCCTTCGCTCGATGTGTTCACGGACGGGTCGTCTCTCGGCTGGGGCTTTGTGACCAGTGCTCACCAGGTCGGCCGAGGTTGATGGAGTCTGTCTGTCCGTCGGGCTCACAGCACGGTTCGGGTGTTCATGGCTGTGGTTTGCGCTTCGGAGGGTTTGGGTCACTAGGTACTCTACCATTCAGCTCTGTTTGGACTGTTCTCTGGTGGTTCTTGCCGGAACCACAGGGGTTTGGCTAACCGTGTGGTTCGTGTCCGGGGTGTATCCTGCGTCCTGGCGGACAGCTGTCTCGGTTCATTCCTCTTCGTGGGTTGGCCAGTCGTCGCCGATTCG